AACCACTTTTGGCCTCAATCATTCTAGTAAGAGACCCATTAATGATGATTGAGAACTTTGGATCACTTATACATTCCATAACCAAATTAGCAAATTTAATAAGAAAACCAAAGTAGCCAAAGATTTTATTAAGAGTTTTCCAACCCAGAGAGTCATATGCCTGTTCCATGTCAACTTTGAAAGCTACCAACCCTTTATTGGATTTGGAATGTTTAAACTTATGGAACATCTCTTGAGCTACAAGAATATGATCCGAGAGAGATCTACCCTTATGAAACGCCTCCTACTCAACCGAGATAATCTTTGGAATCACCAACAAAATTCTATTGAGAAGAATCTTAGCAACAAATTTGTAAACCGAGTTGCAAAGGCTAATCGGTCTATAGCTTGAAGGAGTTAAAGGATTTTTAGTTTTGGGAATCAAAACAATATTAGTATTTCTCCAACTACTATTCAACTTCCCAAACTTGAAAAAGTGATCCAAAGCATTCCATAAATCTTTATTGATTATGTGCCAATAATGTTAAAAAAAAAGAGTATGACATACCATCTTGACCCGGAGCAATATTTTTCTTCAAATCTTTTATCACCTTTCCAATTCTTCAAAAGTGAAATCTCTATCTAACATTCTTCTATCTTCATCATTTAGTTTTGACAAAGTATCAGGCCATTCCTCCATAATGCAGCTCCTCTCTTCCCATTTACTGTCAAAATACCGGAATAAAACATCTTCAATGTCTCTTTGTTCTTCAACCATCTCACCTTGTTCATTTATGATTTTATGAATGTAGTTGGAATTTCTTCTAGTACTTGCATAAACTTGAAAGAACTTGGAATTGGAATCCCCCTCAACCATCCATTTAATTTTTGCGCTTTGTCTCCACCAAGTATTTAACCCGGCCATAGTTATATTCAGCTCTTCCATTTTAGCTCTCAAGATCCACTGCTCTTCCTCCGACAAAAAGCCAAACTCTTCTTCTAATTCTTGCAGCCTGAGCACTTCAATTTTAAGTTCTTCTTTTGTTCATTTAGAGTCTTGAACTTAGCCTTACTCCAATAAAAAAGTTCTCTTAAAAATCTCTTGAGTTTGGTAATCAAAATTTGAGACGGGTCTCCTCTTGTATATTTCTTCCAGGATTTGTTGACTACAGCAACTGAAGTTGGAATAGTAATCCATACCTCTTCAAATTTTAGAATCTTCTTAGGAGGACTGAAGTTCAACAATTTTAGCATAATCGGACAATGGTCTGAAGCCAATCTTGTCTAGTTCTTTACCACAAGCCTGTAGGAAGAATT